AATTCAAACGTATCAATTCTTCTGCAATCTTCCTTATTTATTGTCCAACTTTCACATGCATATGAGAGGATTGAAAATTCTATGGTTTGGGTCAAGTGCACCTTAGTCCTCAAAGTGACATCTTTGCTCTTTAACATGTTTAAGAGATCTTGTGCAGCAAATTTGACTAATGCAATAAGTCATTTGATTTCTTGACTGCTTTATCCATGGGTGTTGATGGTGGATCCAATCAAAACCAAACTGTTTAACAACTGCAATCTTTTCTCCATTTATCATGATGTTATTTACTAGTCCAGTGTTAGGATTTTTTTTTTTTTCCCCAAGGAGGTGCAATCCATACTGAAGGCTGTAATCTTTAATCTTCATCAGTAAGTACGTCAAGTCCTCTTCTTTTTCAGCAAGCAAGGTTTTATCAGTTGCATATCACACGTTGTTAATGAGTCTTCCTCATTTGGCTCAAACATAACAACAATTGTGAGGAGGATGCAGGACCAGACAGTGTTTCGGTCTGTCATGTATAGGGTTGCAATGAGTCTTAACTGACTTAAGAGTACCTAATAACAACAACAATGTAGTTTTCATTACTTTCCCACCTATATGTTCTATCACATTCATGTATATATTCTCAACAAAGGTAAATTCCCACGTACACGCATCCTCTGTTAAACCTACATATATTCTCACTCTCCCTCTCACCCCGCCCCATCCTGTGTGTCTACCCATGCATCTACCCATTGTTGTTGTTAAGTACCATGGAGTCGGTTCCGACTTATAGTGACTCTGCACAGGGTTTACGAGGCTGTAAATCTTTACAGGAACAGAAGCCTCATTTTTCTCCCATGGAGCAGCTGGTAGTTTCAAACTGCTGACTGTGAGGTTAGCAGCCCAACTCATAACCACTACGCTACCAGAGCTATAATGTTCAACTCTAGGGAATAGCGTATGTATGGGAAGGTCCTGAGAAGGAAGTGAGTTTGGTATTAAAAACAAAGAAAGCAAGGCTGAAATGTAACAATTAAGTGGGAGGGTGAAGAGAAGTATGATCAGACGGATAGGCAGAGTCCAGTTCAAGTAAGACCTGGTAACCGAAATCCAAACCCACTTTTGTCAAATTGATTCCAACTGATAGCAACCCTGTAGGACAGAGTAGAACTGCTCCATAGGGTTCCCCAAATTAGAAATCTTTGTGGAAGTCAATTGCCACATCTGGTGAATTTGAACCATTGACCTTTAAGTTAGCAGATGAGCACTTTAACTATCGTGCTACGAGGACCTTGCTAAGATCTGGTAGAGTCTCATAAAACTTGAGTTAATTCTAATTGCAGGACTTTAAGCATAGAAGTTGTATACTGTGTTATGCTTTACAAGGACCATTGTGGCTGACATGTAGACAATGGATGGTAGGGAGCAAGAGAAAAGTTGAGAAAAAGAACTAGCAGGGGAAACAGAGGCTATCTGTTGAAGTAGTCTAAATCAGGGACAATGGTGGTCTGGATTAGGACTATTAAAATGAAGGTAGCGAGAACTAGTCAGAAAGGCTTTTGGTCTCATTTCTGGGAACATTTCTGGGTATGAGACTGGGAACACCCTGTGCTGTGAGGAAGATGCTGCAGAGGTAAGTGGTTGGAGAAGGCTGGGACTAACACTGAGTATTTTCTATGTTCCGAGGTCTATGCTGGGCTTGTTCACCTCCACAATCCTGAATGAGAAAACTGATGCACTTGCAGGTTAAACAGTGTACACGAACCAAAGCCGGGCCCCTAATAAGGGGTAGGCCCGTAATCCTAGTGAGAGTATCTCAGAATTGTAACTCTTTCCACGGCACTCTCCTGTCTCTTAAGTCAAGGCCCCTGTGGGTGTTCATATCTGCCCTCAGTGACTATTAACCTGCTCAACTTCAAGTGTAGAAGCTGATAGTCTCCACCCACGCTCAACCTCTTACAGAATCGACACTACATGTTGTCTAAAGTACAAATTTTCAGAACTCTTAAATATCTTATGCTTAGGGCCCCATCATAACTACTTGAGATTTAAAAAATAATAGCTCTGGTAGCGTAGTGGTTACGAATCGGGCTGCAAACCTTAAGGTCAGCGGTTCGAAACTACCAGCTGCTCTGCGGGAGAAAGATGAGGCTTTCTACTCCCGTAAAGATTTACACCCTCGGAAACCCTATACAGGGTTGCTATGGGTCGGAACCGACTCGATGGCACATAACAACAACAACAACAACAATACATATAATTTTAGGAGATGGAAAGGGTTAGAGCATTTTTGGTTTCCTGGGTATATATTTCATTTGAATAGTGTGACTCTAAAGGATTAAAACTAAAAGAAAAAAAAGGCACAACCAATAGCTCTTATAAGTCAATTTGTTAGGAAGCAGTGTTATAACATTTTTCATAGAAAGGTCTTTCTTTCCCCAGAGGACATTTTAGAGGGTTTCTGTGTATTTATTTCTATGACTAGTACTTCTTATCTGAGAAGAAAGCTAAAAAACAAATGAGTAAGAATACATAAAAATTGCTTTTAAATATGCAATTGTTGAGGAGTATTTTACGGGCATAATAAAACAAACAAAACAAAATTTGCATGCATTTTCTGAGCAAGAGTATTTTTATTGAAACCTTTTTTTTAGCAAAAAATAATTTCAAAGTAAAATACATATATGTTAATACTACTTTGAACTTATTGTTTGCTTAAAAGATATTCATATGTATATAAATAATGAGTGATTATAATGTATGTTGTTGCAGGCCATCAAGTTGATTCTGACTTATAGTGACATATAGGACAGAACAGAACTTCCCCATAGGATTTCCAAGTCTGTAAATCTTTACAGAAGCAAACTGACACAACTTTCTCCTGCGGAGTGGCTGGTAGATTCCAACTGCTGCCCTTTTGGTGAGCAGCCAAACTGTTAATCACTATGCCATTGGGGATCCTAATAATGTACATATTTATGTGTATATGTGTATCTGCTATTTAGTAAAAATATGTGATTCTGGGTCATTAGTTGCATGCTGTCCACTTTACTTCTGAGTTGCATAGTAATTGGATCCAGTTTCTCAGATTTTTTCATGGGAGTTACACAGAATTATCTAGTGTCTTATAATTAGATAAGGGGTTTGGGTGGGATCACCACTTGGAAGTACTCAAAATCATTTGCAGCTTAAGGATAGAGTGACAACATTTGGTAAAGAAGGTACAGGTTTAATTTCAGGACAAAAACATGCTCTCCTCACACAAGTCACAGAACACCTTCTTTAAGACGATCTCTATGTCGTCCTGCAGGGACTCACTGGGAAGCCACCGGAATTCTAGATCTTGGTATCTTACTGCCTCCTTGCTTCTAGGAAGTGTGTAGTTATTGATAATCACAATTCTTACAAACGTTGAAACAAGTTAACCTGACAATGAAATTCATATTTGCCTAAAATGAGTGCCTACCTGTCAGACCACATTAAACTATAAGACTGGTCAGGGATGGTAGTGACAGACTTACTGTAATGGGTAGGGAAGTGTCAGATGCTGGGTGATCTCTTAAGCCCCTTCCTTATGTTAGATCCTATGAGTTTAGGTACCCTCAGAATTTCATGAGAATAGCCCAGAATATCTAAATGTATTAGAAACATGTGCTTCTTACTTGTTGAAGAGGCCCAGTGAACATCCTGTGATAATAAAATGAGGATGTTGCATCACCCCGCTCCCTGGAATGACACTGTCCTGAAGATGTGAGTAAAAGAGTTTCCCAGGGTTTAGAAAGTAAGAAGTAGTCAGTAAAAATAATTGGTTCCTGATCTGAAGAGAAGGCCTGGTTTCCCTACTGTCTGAGACAACTTCAATGAAGACATTGTTTAAAACCTAGTTTTACCATCTACAAGGGGGCTTCAAAAAGTTTGCAGAAAAAAATGGGATTATAAGATAATGAAAAATTTCCATATACTTTCTGAAGTCCCCTCTTATTTGGACAGATTAAAGGAAATATACAATGTGACCCCTGGCCTCAAGGTGCTGACAACCTTGTTGGAGAGAGAATAAACATACAAAAATCAGTGAGTTAACAATGAAGTGCTCACTGAGTGGTAACGAACACAAGTGAAAGGGGAGTTTTAAAATAATTAGAGTGTCCAGAAAGGTTTTATTTAAGAGGTAGGATTTGGACTAAGCTTTGAAGATTGGATCAACTGAGGAGAGCAGAGTAGTCCTATGGGGTCGTTGGAAAAGGATAAGAAAGGAGTAGACCCAGATGATTGAGGGAACATGCCATGTTTGGAGGAGAGGCATTGAATTATGGTAGGATGGTGTCTTGGGTTCTCTGGAGAACCAAAATCAGAGAATACAGACCCAGTTCAGTTGACACAAACCTTAACTATCACAGAAGGTGAGGAACTGGCTTGATTAAAGCAAAAGGGAACAGTAAGAAATAAAGTAGTTGCTCTAGACAAACTAAATGGAGTCACATTATGGAGACCCACAAAGGCCAGATAAAAGATTGTGAAGGACAAGTGCTGGTGATCTCCAGTGGTGGTCCTTGGAAGTAACCGATCTCTCAGACACATTGTGTGTGAGGCCAGTTGGCTGATTCGAACTCAGATACTGATGGCTATGGCAGTTTGGTGAAGTCCAGCTTAATACCTAACTACATAGCTCACTGGCATGCTGTGTGACCTAAGAATATTCTCTGGAGGCTGCTGTTTGTGGCCCAGGAAGAAGCTCTCCAGACAGCTGTTTATTGTGTGTGGGATGTGAGTGTGTGGACATTTGTCTAGGTGTGGGTGTTATTAAATGTAGTCCTAAGCATAATGAAATTCAGCTGGTTGGGGGAAGAACAAAAACAAACTATAGCCTTTAACAATTTGGAATTGAAACATAACTTTCTAGCTTTTTCACAACAGTTGTTAAAATTTTAGAGTCAAATAAACAAGCTTATGCATTAGATACTTTCCCCTTTTAGAATGATTTAATTATAATGAAAAAATATTCATAGGTACAGTGTCTCTTATGTAGTCTTCTTTGGATGAGGACGTTGAAATTTTCTAACTGTCTTGAATTTTTGATGTTTTCCCCCTTTCCTTTGCTCTTTCTTTTGGCTGACCTGTGAGGAGAGGGAAACAAAAAGTGTGTGTAAGGGTTTCTCATTTTAACAGTTTTCCTTCTTTATATTATGCTTGAACTCTCCTGACTGCGGTCTTTCTTTACCTTCAAAACTAGTTAAATGTTGATTCACTCTCAGAGAGGCTCCTTTTGACTCTATTTTCCTCACTTTGAGGAGGAGGCAGCAACCTACAGCGTCTTCTGTCTATTCTTCTTAAGCTTACCCTCACTCCCATCTTGCATACCACTACCTTGCTCCAACTACAAACCTCTGAGCTTAGTTTTTTCATCATCCACTTTCAACCTCCGACAAGGCTGAGGCTTAGAGAGACCGACTTTCCCAGAGTTGTACGTATAGATAGTATGTGGCTGAAACAGTGCTCTGACAGATTCCAGAACCCAAACTCCTAACAACATTCCCCAGACCCCCTTCATAACTATGTCACATAGGATTCCTTCCACTCTTGTTCTGGTCTACATTTCTACTTTGTTATGTATTGAATTGTGCCCCCAAAATGATACATTGAAGTCCTAACCCTTTGTGGTAAAGTGAATTATCTAAAGTCTCTTTTAGCCATAGTCCTTGTTGTTGTTGATTAAGTGCCTTCAAGTCGGTTCAAACTCAGAGTAACCCTATGTAGGGTTTTTGAGGAGTGGCTCATGGGTTTGAACTGCTGACCTTGTGGTTAGTAGTCCAGTGTTCAGTCACATCAGGACTCCCACCAAACAGCATTTCTGCCCTGCTGGGTCTGGGTAAGAGAAGGTGGAAGAAGATACTGACAGGATGACACGAGTCAGCTATGGATGTTAGCAGAATTAATTGCAATTGTAAAAACTTGAAACTTTAGCATGGGTATACAATGAAGCGGAAACATCCAAAAAGAGCCAGGAGTGGAGCCCATCCTTTGGACTCTGAGCTCCCTGTGCATTGAGCTTCCTTAACCCAGGGACAGAAAGCTGTGACTCTGGAGGAGTGGCAGAGAAGCAGCAGCAAAGAACTCAGAACCAGAGCACAAGACAGAGTGGTGGGTTTCCCAACCCATGGAGCAAGTAAAGCTGAGTGACTTTGTGTAGGAGTCTTGCTCGTAGAGTGGGCTGCCTCCAGGCACTTAATTGCCGGAGCTAGGTTTGCTGACCCACCGAGCAAGAGCTGAGAGTCTTCAGACTGAAGCTTATGGTAGAGTGGTGTGTCCTATGGGAATTTATCAGCAGCCCTTAAAAAGCTTTGTATAGCTGGCAGGACAGATAGAGGCCTGCCTATGAACATGACTGAGAAGACGCTGTCCTGGCTGAAACAACTGTGCCCTGAGCATTTCTGACCCAGAATTGTAACTTGTTAACTTCCCTAATAAACTTCCTAACTGTGAGTATGGCATCTTAGTTTTGTGTGGCCATTGCAATGAATGATTGAACCCAGTTCAGTAGAGAGTATAGTGTGGGAGGAATGGTTGGCGTTATATTTTAACATCCTGGTACTTGTGAATGTGCTTTTGTTTGGAAATAAGGTTTTAAAAATGTTATCAGTTAATAAATCCTGCAGAGTAGGTGTGTCCTAATCATATATGACCGGTGTCCTGAGCAAATTAACAGGCACCGAAACAGAGACGCAAGGAGAAGATGGAAATATAAAGACATCTACCAGCCAAGGAATACTAAGAAATGCAGAAGAGGCAAGAAATGCAGAAGCTGGAAGAGACAAGCATTGATTTCTCTCTAAAGAAAGAGAAAACCTGGTCCTATTGAGTCCTGAATTTAGAACTGTGACACAAAACATTTCTGTTCTTTAAAACCATCCACGTCTTAGTATTTTGTTAAAGCAGCCCCAGAAAACTAGTTTTTGTTAAGTACCGTTGAGTCTGTTCTGACTCATAGGGACACTGTATAGGCTTTAGTGTTCTTTGCAGAAACTGATAGCCTAGTACATCCCTTCAGTCCCTTTACTCCCACTGAACAACTTGAGTCTTGCTGAACATTACTTGAATCTCCCTGTACACAGAAAGCTGTTTCATGAGTCTACTCTTTTGTTCATGCTGTCGCTACCTTCCCAGTAAATGACTTATCTTTAACTCACAACCAAAATCAAATGTCACCTGATCTGAGAAGCCTCCCTTAACACTTTCTCCCTGCCTTTCAGATACATGACACCTTTCTCTGTAATCTCCAAGATTATTGTACACATCTTAATTTATATTTCACACATTATACACAAAATTTATTAATATCACAAAAATTATTAATATTTGCTTTTGAGTTATGGGAGTTATGGTATTGGAAGAGAATATTGAAAGTGCCATGGGCTGCTAAAAGAACCAATAGATCCATTTTGGAAGAAGTGCAGCCAGAGTGCTCTTTGGAGGCCAAGATGGTCATACTTCATTTCACACTTCAGACATATTGTCAGGAGAGACCAGTCACTGGAGAAGGATATCATGTTTGGTAAGGTGGAGGGTCAGAGAAAAAGAGGAAGACCCCCAATTAGATGGTTTGGCCAAGTGGCAGCATCGATGGACTCAAGTGTGGCAACAATAGTGAGGTTGGCCCAGGATCGGGCAGTGTTTCGTTCTGCTGTGTATAGGGTTGCTATGAGTTGGTACCGACTTGATGGCACCTAACAACAACAACAACAGAGGGAAGTACCATGGACTTCCAAAAAAACAAATAGATCTGTGTTGGAAGAAATACAGCCAGAGTGCTCCTTGTAAGTAAGGATGGCCAAACTTTGTCTTTCATACTTTAGACATATTGACAGGAAGGAACAATCACTGGAGAAGGATATTATGTTTGGTAAAGTGGAGAGTCAGAGAAATAGAAGAAGACCCCAATGAGATGGATTGGTACAGTGGCTCAAGCATAGCAATGATTGTGAGGTTGGCCCATGATCGGGCAGTGTTTCATTCTGTTGTGCATAGGCTTGCTATGAGTTGGAACTGACTTGATGGCACCTAACAGCAACAATAACAACAGAGAGAAGGGACCATATCTTATTACGATTATATCTTCAGTGTTTACCACTCAATTCAATATGAATATATTGTATTGAGTAAAAAAGACAAATTCCTTGTCCTCTAGAAACACACATTCTAGTGGGGGAGATGTTGTTAAGTGCTGTCGCATCTGTTCCAAGTCATAGTTACTATAGGGTTTCCGAGGAGTGGTTGGTGGGTTTGAATCACCAACCTCAGGTTAGGAGCCCAGTGCTTATCCTACAGTGCCGTATGCAAGAATGCAATTATACTACAGTGTGATGGCATCATCCCAGGAAAGAAAATGTTGTTGTTGTTGTTATGTGCCGTGGAGTCGGTTCCGACTCATAGCGACCCTGTACAGGGTTTCCGAGGCTGGAAATCTTTACGGGAGCAGAAAGCCTCATCTGTCTCCCGCAGAACAGCTGGTAGTTTCGAACTGCTGACCTTGCAGCTCGCAGCCCAATTCGTAACCACTACGCAATAGGAGCATAATAATTTGAATGAAAAAATGAATCCTTAAAGGGGCTGTACAGATTATTTGCCTTCCAAAGTTAACTTCTAAAAGAAAGAAAGTTTTGTTCTTCTTTCACACCAACCTGTTTCTCCCAGTGTTTCATCAATTTTTTCACCTCTGTTAAATCCGGGTTTAAACACGTTTGAGTCCCATTCTTCAAAGTAGCACTGCCAAGGAAATAGCAATGTGATTTTTTTTTTTCTCTGTTAATAAGTTACATGCTTCATATCATCCACAGAATTCAGTTCCCTGGCTAGAATGTATTTGTACCAGCACTAGAAAGGAATCTCCCTATGTTTAACCTGTCTCCTCAGTTTCTAAATAAGTGAGAGGGCTTAGATGAATTGCCAGAATAGCATAACCCTAAATTAAAAAAAAATCCAGTGGCTATATAGATTAGAAGAGACATATCTACAGGATAATATTAGTTCTGTTCTGCGGGAATAGTTATTTATGTTCAAATGAAGAAGAAAAATAGAAAAGTAATCAATATATTTATACTTTTGCAGAAATAATGAAAATCAGCATGACTTTTGTTGAATTTTCCAATGAAAACACTTAAATATAACCAATTTGTTTCCCTAATACAAGAAGAAGATACTGGTTAAAATTTAAAAATTGCTTATAGAAAACCTTTCAAGACCATTTAAAGATTTTTTTTTTTTTTTGTAATTTTCTATACAATCTGAGAATAAGAGTAACCATTATATATATATCATATGATTTAGGTATCAAAAACCTTAAAATATGTATATACTTTAAGCTAGCAACTCTATCTTTAGAAGTATTAATAGGAAAGACTTAAAGATACAGTATTTAACAATAACAATTTGATTTCAATAACAAAAAGCTTGGAAATAACCTACATTTCCAGCAATAGTAAATTGGTCATAGAATTATGTTATATTCATATAATAGAATGCAAACTGGCCATCAACAGTGGCATTATTAGAGATTTACTGATGCCAAAAAAAGTTCATAATACAGACTTAGTGAGAAAACAGATTACAAAATAGTATATAGTATATCATTACATATATATATATATATATACACACACACAAGGGGCTTTCAAAAAAGTTGTGGAAAAATTCCATTCTCTTTCAATTCCACTTGAAACAAGAGGAATTTGGAAGATATATACCAAGAGGTTATTTGCCACAGTATGGTAGGTCTCTAACTGAATTTTATCTTCTTCTTTGGGTTTCTCTACATTAAACATTTTTTTAAATTAACATTTATTACTTTGATAATTTATCATCCTTGGTTCTTGATTTCTACCAGAAAAACTCCTTGATTTTTTAAAAGAAGAAAAGAAATACATAAATTAGATTTGTGGCAGAGCTCAGCATCTGACTTTTAAATGTATACGTATATGGACAACCACTCTAAATGTAATATTTACACTAAATTGAGTTTCCTTTCTAATATGGCCCATGCATGTGGAATGAGTTTTTACTTACATGATTTCAGTTTTCTCACATAAAGAGCTTGGGGCAAATTGTTGAAGGTCTTTTATGAATCGTAATCGGATCGTCTTTTGGTAAGTTTCAATGCAGGAGCAGCGTCTATCCCTTATTACTATGGTTCCTAAGGGAAAGAGAAGGATGCAAAAGGTTGGTGGTCCAAACCTACTCAGTGACACTGCAGAAGTAAGACCTAGCAATCTGCTTCCTAAGGTTTACAGCCAAGAAAGCCCTATGAAACAGTTCTACTCTGTAGCACATGGGCTCCGCATGACTTGGAATCCACTTGACAGAAACAGAATTTTGAAGGGAAGGGGTGGAGCACATAGATGCAGAGCAAGGTCTCAGTTTAGGAGATCCATCAAAATGATGCATTTGACTTAATTGTGATGAATATTGCTCTCATTTACCTAGTATCTGTAAATCATCTCCACAAGCTTTTCAAGAAGGTATTATACCCCATTAAAAAAAAAAAAAAAAAAGGCTCTGAGGTTCAGAGAGGTTAACTAAAGAACAAAACCACACACAGCTTTGAAAGGACAGAGTGAGGGTTTTAACCCTGGTCTGAGTCCACAGGTGTTGGTCTTAACCATACCTTGCATCCCTACAAGGAAATTAGACTTTTGCAATATTTAACAAATATCGATCACAGGTTAGACAAACAGATAACTAATGTGCAAATTCATGTGTTCTCCATAGACCATGGTATGTTAAGCAACTCTCAAATAAATATTCATTTGTTATCTGAATTTAGTGGAATAGAGTTGGTATTAATTTGAGCAAAAATCCACTTATATAAACTAGTTACTACCACCTTACTTATCTTTCCTGTATTCCACTGCCTTGCTTCTGTATAGTGCTAAAGCATAGTGGTTACGAATCGGGCTGCGAACCGTAAGGTCAACAGTTCGAAATTACCAGCTGTTCCACAGGAGAAAGATGAGGCCTTCTGCTCCCATAAAGATTTACAGCCTCGGAAACCCTGTATAGGGTCGCTATGAGTCAGAACCGACTCCACAGCACATAACAACAACAACAACAAAGCTTTGAAAATATGTTTTCATTTCTTCTTTCTTTCACTCATTCATTCAACATTCAAGTCGTGCCAAATATTTGTTGTAGGTAGAAAAAATATAACTATAAAATCTCTGTTCTAAAAATATGAAAAATGAAGCCTACAAAGATAAAGTAATTTTCCCAGGGTAACCAAGCTGTCAGTAAGCAGATTAGGTACAACCTCCCTGGTTATTGGATCCTTAATCAGCTAATACAAATTATCAAGAAACAATATCATGGTGATAAAATACATTGAGGAGACAGTCTTTCATCTTCTTATCACCCAGGCCAGAAAACATTTATTGAACAGTTTCTAACTGCCAGAAATTTACATGCCTGGACTAAGGAAACTTGTATTTGTTTTGGCAGGTTCAAGTTATGAACTTTGGATAATCAACCATATACATCATCACAAAACTTTTGTGAGAGATCCACAGCACTTGCTGAGGCATGCAGGACACTCAGTATTTATTGGGTGAGCCAAGAGGCTTACACCGCAACCCACAATCTTCACTTTACTCACCTAATTTAGCCCAAAACCCCTTACCTTGAACTCCAATCAGAATTAGAAAGATGATACACAAGAAGAGAGGAACGCCACTTTTCTTCATGGTGGTAATGAAGGTTTACTAGTCACTCCTGTATTGGACTTTAAGCCTCAGAAATTTATAGAACATGCTTTTGGGAATCATATTTATTTAGGAAGTTCAATTCCCTCCTCAACTCTGATTGGCTGATGCTCTCAGCTGATGTAACTAAACTAACCACAAACTTAATTGTGCTGAGGAAAAACCTACTCTCAGATCCAAGGGAATTTCTGCATGCTTATTTCCATTTCACATAAATGGGTGGTTTATAGTAAGGAATGTGAAACCAATATCACAAGCAGCTTTCAGCATACTTACAGAGACTCACCTGGTGAAGAATAGACTACATAACTATGGAATTCCTTTTATTTTTTTTTAACTTTAAAAAATATTTTAATGCTTCAACTAAGACATACTGTGCTACAGATATTTTAGTCTTTGGAAGACTTCAGCAAAACATAAATACATAATTGGTCCTGTATTTAAAATTTTTGATCCTAAGATATTTTCTGGGTTAGACTTTATGAAAAATACAAAATAATTTCCAACCTATCGCCTTGTTGCTGTTATTGCAAAGTGTTGTTGAGTCCGCTCCAATTTATAGCAACTATAAAACAGAGTGATATTGTATAAATATACTAGTTTTTCACATTCGTAAGAAGAATAATTTTAATAAACTGTGGTGCTAAAGGAATTACCCTAAACAAAAGCAAATATCTTAAAATTATGAGATTCTCTTAAAGGGGTATTTTGTAGCGTTCTGCTGTTATTATTATTTTTTTTTATGGATAATTTTTTATTTATTTATTGTGAATTGAGTGAATGTTTACAGGGCAGAGCATCAGTTTTACATTCAACAAATCATATACTTTGTTTCATTACAATGATATAACCCCCTCCATGTACCATCAGTTAACAGTATTTCTCTCTATTCATTTTAGGTCTTTTTTTTTTAACACTCAGGCATATATAATAATTTACACCACCAAAGGGCACCATCTGCAAGTCTGCCTCCTTGTCGCTAACTCTCAGTCCCTCTCTTTCCATGAATCTAGAGTACTCAGCTGCTCCCTTTCACCATGTCCCCATTTCTGTCTCCATCTCTGGTGTCGCTGTTTCTCTGGATAAGGTCTCACATTCCGTTTGTGCTCTTCTCCCTTGTTTCTAGGGTCCTTTGTTTCTGGACTGTAAGGTTAACTACTCCCCCATTTTTGTTACGAAACTTCTACCTTTACAATTGTGACAGTTGTAATTAGTCATGATAAGAATTATTTACTATTGACTCATAAGAATCTTATCCCCATCTCTTTTTACCAGACCCATCTAGACAAGATGAAAGCTATTCAGTGGGGACTCTATCTTCCCCCACACACTCTTAAACTAAACTATCTCTTGAAAACTTGTAAGCCAGTCACTTCGTGCCTTTATCGCCCCCTCATTTTAGGTAGCCAATGTCTATGTTGTCCTTCCCTATCTACCCTGTGTACAGAGGGGATAGCATTGTTACTTGATGTGAAGATTCCTTCCCTGTCCGTTGGTGTTTTTTTGTTTTTTTTTGTCTTTTTTTTTTTAATTAAATGTTTTTATTTTGCACTGAGTGAAAGTTTACAGGGCACATCATCAGCTTCACATTCAACCATTCATATAGCTTGTTTCATTACATTGATTATTATCCCCGCCATATATCATCAGTTTACAGTGTTTCTCTCTATCCTCTTTAGCTTTTTTTTTTTTTTTTTTGGATGGGGGGGACTTGGCTTTTTGGAATTTGTATATTCCCTCTCTTCTTAATCAGCTGGATGCTTCACTCTCCACTGTAGCCCTCTGTGGCTATGTCACTGACTCTAGGCCCAAGAGTCCCCAGGTCTTGCAACACTGCTGGCCAACTATGTTTCCACCCGGGTTCACAGAAGTCTATTGAACGTTGTAGGGCTTAGCTTGCAGCTTCATTGCTGTTTTTCCCTCACTTCCCCTTATCGGTGACGAGAGTGGTCACCAATCAGAGCGTGTATTCCCATTGAGTCTTGGAAGGGGGTTTACACTGAGGGGACCTGACCACTTACCTTGATGTCTTCTGGGCAAGCAACTTGCTTGTTTTTGTAATAACAGTCAGTCTGCATATATTGTTTTGTATTTTTCCTGAAGGTCTTTCTTTCAAGAAGTATCTTCTGTTCTTCTAGCTGCTCCAGGCTGGTCTACTCATAAGAAATAAACTTCTTACACTAACACTTCAATAACAGAAAAGCCTCGAAGGTCAAAATGACCCAAGGACGCCTGCACAAACAGGATAAGGGTCTGCTGGAATTTTCCATGCCAGGTGACAAGACAAATCTGTTTGTTTCAACCGCTCTGTATTTTTGTATAAAACCCTGTTCCCCTGCTCGCTTTGGGGTCAGAGTATTTTGGGTGTTAGCTGACACTCTGGCCGCCAGCAATAAACTTTGCTCTTTGAGAGTTTCAAGTTGAGTTCTTTCTGACTTGCGCTGCTGCAACATAATGACTCATAGTGACCTTATGCACTAAAAGAAAAAAAATCTGCTGCACAAGATCTTTTAAAAGTGTTCAAGAGCAAAGGTGTTAGCTTGAGGACTAAGGTGCGCCTGATCCAACCATGATACTTGCAATAGCTTCATGCATGTCAAAGTTGGTTAGTGAGTAAGGAAGACCATAGAAAAATTTATGCATTTGTGTTATGGTGTTGGATAAAAATATTAAAAGTGCAATGGACCTTCCAGCAGAATATGTGCTGGAAGAAGGACAGCCAGAATGCTCCTTGAAAGCCAGAATGGCCAAACTTTGTCTCTTGTACTTCAGACATATTATCAGGAGGGACCTGTCCCGAGAGAAGGACGTCATGCTTGGTAAAATTAAGGGTCAGAGTAAAAGAAGAAGTCTCCCAACAAGATGGACTGGCACAGAAGGAACGGCAATGGGCTCAAAGATAGCAATGATTCTGAGGTTGGCACAAGACCAGTAGTGTTTCATTCTGTTATGCATAAGGATGAATGTAAAGTTTTCCCATGTAAACTATCACATAATTCACAATAAAACATTTTTTAAAAAGTGTATTTATTATTTTTCCATAGGGTGAGGCAGGGAGGGAGGGGCAGGGTGAGATGGGGGGGCTGAAAGGACTTAGTGGATACCTAGTTTAAATGGGGGCTGTTAGTCATGCTGTAACAGTTACTCACTCAATGGCACCTAAGGACAACAGTATATTGAAAAGATTCTTCTTTTATCCTCAAATGAACATACCACCCTTGTCAAAATTCAGTGGATCCTTGTTATGTGGGTTTATTTCTAGGCTCTCTGTTCTATTCTATTGGTCTTTGTTTCTATTATTATACCAGTATCAGGCTGTTTTGGTTATTGTAATTGTATGTTGTTGTTATTGTTAAGTGCCATCAAGTCAGTTCCGACTCATAGAGACCTTGTATAGGGTGTCCAAGAGTGACTGGTGAATTTGAACCACTGACCTTTTGGTTCAACCAACCTTGTGGTCCAGTGCTTTATCCCATAGCACCACACCAGAAGTAAAGTATATTTTAAAATCAGGAAGTGTACGTCCTATTTTGTTCCTCTCTTTCACCGTTGGTTTAGCTGTTCAGGGCTTTTGCTTTTCCATATAAAGTTGAAGACTGGTTTTTCTATTTCTGTAAAGAAGGCTGTTAGGACTTTGATCATGATTGTGTTGAACCTATATATCACTTTGGGTAGCATTGACATCTTAACAATATTAAGTCTTCTAATCCATGAATAAGGAGCTCTGGTAGCGTAGTAGTTACAAATCGGGTAGAAAGATGAGGCGTTCTGCTCCCGTAAAGATTAGCAGCCTAGGAAACCTTGTGCAGGGTCTCTATGAGTCAGAACCAACTCCATGGCACATAATAGCAACAACAATCCATGAATATAACACATCTTTCTATTTATTTGAATCTTCTGTAATCTCTTTCAAGGATCCCAAGTGGTAGAGTGGGTTAAGCACTGGGCTGTTAATACAACGTCAGCAGTTTACCCACCAGCCATTGGCTCCAGTAAAGATTTACAGTCTCAGAAACCCTATAGAACAGTTCTACTTATCCTATATGACTGTTATAAGTCAGAATCAACTCACTGGCAGTGGGTTTTGGTGGGTTAATTTCTTTCAGCTGTGTTCCTTAGTTAGATTTATTTCTGTTGTTGTTGTTGTTAGGTGCCATCAAGTCAGTACCAACTCATAGCGACCCTAAGCACAGCAGAATGAAACACTGCCTGATCGTGGGCCAACCTCACAAACTTTGCTATGCTTGAGCCCATTGATGATGTCACTATACCACTCCAACTCACTGGGAGTCTTCTTCTTTTTCTCTGATCCTCCACTTTACCAAACATGCTACCTTCTCCAATGAATGATCTCTCCTGACAATGTCCGAAGTATGAGAGACAAAGTCTGGCCATCCTGGCCCCCAAGAACCACTCTAGCTATACTTCATTCAACACAGATCTATTTGTTCTTTTGGCACTCTATGGTACTTTTAATATTCTTCTCCAATACCATAACTCAAATGCATCAATTCTTCTACAATTTTCCTTAGTCACTGTCCAAATTTTGCATGCATATGAGGCTATTGAAAATACTATGGCTTGGATCAGGCTCACCTTAGTCCTCAAACTGATACCTTTGCTCTTCAACACTTTAAAAAGGTCTTGTGCAGCAGATTTGTCTAATGCAATATGTCGTTTGATTTCTTGACTACTGCTTCCGTGAGTATTGATGGTTGATCTGAGCAAAATGAAGTCTTTGACAACTTTAATCTTTTCTCCATTTATATGGATATTGTTTATTGGTCCAGTGGTGAGGATTTTTGTTTTCTTGACATTGAGATGCAGTCCATACTGAAGACTGTGCTCTTTGATCTTCATCAGCAAGCATTTTAAGTCCTCTTCAATTTCAGCAAGCAAGGTTGTATCATCTGTATATCGCAGGTTGTTAATGAATCTTTCTCCAATCCTAATGTCACATTTTTCTTCATAGAACCCAGCTT